CATACATACATACATACATATATACATACATACTATAATAGTATGTAAAGGTATCAATTTCCATTACCAAAGAAACATTATTCGTATCTTACTATGTTACCCTGTATTTCTTTCGTTTGAGGAAATCCATTAAATAATATTAAATCTCATATATCGCAAATCCTCTGGTTTTTTGTTCGTAAAATTAATGAACTAATGGAATGGGAAAAGATAGGAATTGGAAACGAAACAAGAAAGAAAAAAAAAAAAAGAAAAAAAAAAGAAAAACAAGAAACAAGACAAGAATAAATAAAAATTAAGAATAAGAGTGCAATGAAAATTGTAAAAGGAGGAAGAAGAAGAAGAAAGAAAGAAAGAAAGAGAAAGGGAAAGAAAGAGATGAAGAAAGGGGAGGAAGGGATTTTTGTTTGTTACGTGATATGTTCAACAAAAGCAAGGACACCGTCATTCTGTTTATTTTCTCACCGTTACCATCAGCTCGTCTACTATAATATTCACCTTTTCGAACGATCGATGAGATACTTAAGTGCCCTCGTTTTCTGCCACTCTGCAAAACATCAAAGGTACCTGGAGGCTTTTGTGTTAGTAGATATATGTATGTGTGTGTGTGTGTACACGCCCATCTCTATGTATACATGTATCTGGTCTATGTGTTTGAAGTAACGTTGAAAAGACTTCGTCACGATAAAACGAAACCATTACTGATCTCAAAGACCTGGGAGAGACTATCGAAATTTACCACGAGTCTATTAACTCGTCTCTGTCTCTCTCGCTCTCTCTCTTTCTCTCTATCTATCTATCTATCTATCTATCTTTCTATCTCTGTCTCCCTTACTCTCACTCATAATACACTATATAGTTTATTACTTAATTACAATGTCTATGAAAACAATTAACCAAAATTTCCATCGTTATTTAACAAAGAAACTTATAGGATTTTATCCTTTCAAATATGTTCATTAATTACTTTACAATTAAAGTTTGTGTAATAATAACGTTGTATATAAAATTTCTGTTCGTTCATCCATCCATATGTATATTTATCCATATGAACCTTATGTATACGTCTACGTGTATGATATCTGTATGTGTATCTCTATGGGTCTGTATTTCCATAGCATTAGTTTATCCTACGCATGACGAAGTTTCGATTTCGTTTGAAATCATTTTCCATTCTCACTCTCCGCGTGAAATTCACGATCGACAAGCAATGTGCGGAAACACGAAAATGGTGATACAGTTTTGCCGACATAGAACATAGTGTTTTGACAGGGTATACTGTTCCATTTGTACAACAACGAACCACTTGAATAACGCATGAGTTTAACAGATATGACTATTTGATTGTCACGTATTCGTGACAATCAAATACCGCACTTCCCTCCCCCCCTCCCACATACCCTCCTCCACCTCCTCCCATCAGTATACGCACCCATTTGTATATGTATGTCAGTGAAGCGAGTAAATGCGTTCATTCCATTTACCCTCACGCTCTATGAAACTCTATGAAAACGTTTTGTTTTCTTTTTTTTTTTTTGTTTTTACCCCCGTGCCTATCCTAACAAACATTTTTTTTTCTACACCGACGAATAACTCTTATAAGTTTCCCAAAACTATTTATTATTATTTTCTATCGATTAAATATCATCCAATTTGTTTAGAATATTTCAAAGAAATTAAATAAAGAAATAAATGATAATTGAAAAGTGAAGAAGGTGGAAAAATATTAACGTAAAAATATTGAATACTATTTTGTAATAGATTTTTTTTCCTTTCGTTTTCTTTCTTTTGTCCTTTTTTTTTTCTTTTTTTTTTTTTTTTTTTTTAATGCAGTCGTCCTCGCGCGTACAGAGATAAAAAAGATTAACGACGATTGACGGGAGGAGGGATGGATGGTTAGAAAGAAAAACGTAGAAGGACGGAATAAGGGGAAAAGAAATTTATTACGAATGATTTAATATCAAGGATATAATTGCAAGTATGTAAAGGGTGTTAGGTAAGGGGGGAGGGGGGAGGGGACGTCGTGGAGGGGGGGGAGATAATTGTGCCATTGAATCCAATAGAAACGATCAGATCGATCTAATGGCTTAATCGTAGACAGGATACAAAGCCACGATGAGGTTCGAAGCTCATTGAGAGATTCGACTGATTAACGAGGTATAGAGCGTCATTGCGTAAATCGGCCTACAGAAGGGAGTCAATGAAAGGCACTTAATTGCATTTGGATACAATGCTCCAACCCTGTAATATTCTCTTGTAACGCGCTTTAACATTCGCGTTGTCAGCTATTGCCACGCTCTAATTTTCTCTCGGGAAAGTTCATTGTCTACACGTCCAGAGCTTGTTGTGTTCGTCATCCTCCATCCTCCATCCTCCCTAATCCCATCCATTCCCTCACCTCGTCGTCCCTCAATCCCATCGTGTTCGTGAGCGCACGCGTGCACTCACGTGCAATGTATTATTTTAAAAATGTCTCTCATAAAAAGGCAAACGTCAATTATCAAAGGGATTTTTCTTTTTTCCTTTCAAATCTCTTCGATCTAACGTTGATTATATGCCAACGTCCATGTATAATCCTTTTAATAGATCGATTTTGAAAAGCGTAAGCTTTACAACAATCACTTTTTGTTTCCATTCATGTTGGCGATGAGAAAGATTTGAAAAAAAAAAGAAAAAAAAAAAAAAAAAATTTTGATTAATCGATTACGAAATATATCCCAATGATGATAATTGAATTAATTGTTATCATTAGCGCGTACGGTTTCTTTTTCTTTTCTTTTTTTTTTTTTTTTTTATATTGACATTGAATAATCTTGAATGACGTTACGAATATTTTTATGGAAATTCTTTTCTTTTTTTTTTTTATTTTTAGAAATTTTCTTCTTTTTTCTTTTTTTTTTTTTTTTTTTTTTTTTTTTTTCTTAAAAATATTCTCGTAAGTTTATCTCTTCGTAATAATTTAAAATTCTCGTAAATTTGTCCTTCTTTATCACGTACAGTAAGAATTCTCAACATTGTATTAAGAATTATGTTGTTATTATTATATAGGGTATATTAATATCATGATAAGAAATTTTCCCGATAGGGATAGTTCCCCGAAAGTTCGAAATTAATTTGCATTCTTCGGTGGAAAATTGAAAAGAAAAGAAATAAAATTATCAAATTACGTTGGTATCGTACGTGGAAAAAAAAAAAAAACAAAAAAGAAATTCAAATCTAATTTGAAATCGTCTGGACAAAAAGGAACGAGAAAAAGAAAAAGATGAAGTATTAATTTGTTGTACGACGTTATTAGTAGATATTATTGAAAAAAAAAAAAAAGAAAAAAAGAAAAGAAAAAAAAAGAGAAATGAAAAAAGAAAAAGAAAAATCGTACGATAATAATAATCTTGTTCGTTTGAAAATTTTTCTTATCGATTTGATTGATGCAATTTTCTTTTGAGAAAGCTAATAATTATTAAATGCCAATGGAACTTACCAATGTATATCTTCATTTTAATAAACAGAAAATGAAGAGTTCGAACGAAAAAAAAAAAAAAAGAAAAGAAAAGAAAGAAAGAAAAAGAAAAAAGAAATAAGAGTCAATGAAATGGCACAGAAAAAAAAATGTATACATATATATATATATATATATATATATATATATATATATATATATATATATATATTAAACAGAAGGATTGTAAATAATTCTAATATAATATATTCCAAGTGTTATTTAATCATTGATATATCTTTCATTTTCTTAAAGCACACACGCACACACACATATACTCGTAAAAATAGTCAAAGTACATTTAACGATGAGAAATAACTGTAGAAATTTAACTGCGAATTCGGATCTTTATGTAATGGGAAACGTTTATGAAAATGGAAATTAATTATTAGCTTTTCCCCCGTTTCACAATGTATTTCCTTTACATTGTAAAATACATTTGAAACGTTTAAAGTGCCTCCTGGAATATAATCTTGTCAACCCAGATATAGAATTTAACAAAGAACTCGACACGACCATTTTACTTTTCCAAAAGATTTCAACAAATTCTTTTATCTTTCTTTTCTCTTTCTCTTTCTCTTCTTCTTCTTCGTCTTCTTCCTTTTTTTCTTTTTTTATTTCTTTTTTTTTTTTTTTAGACAGAATTATTCAATTGAAACTTCCGACTTCGCTTCAAAAGTCTATACAGTGAATAGTATACATATATAAATATATATATATATATATATATATATATATATATATATATATATATATATACTATGTACTATGTAACAAATGAAAATATTATTTTAATTGTATTAATTGAAAACGTTGCTCTTGTATATTCGAACAAGTAGAATCAAATCGAATCGAATCGAATCGAATCGAACCTTATCAATTAACGTAGTCTTTTATACCAGGAACATGCTGTATTAGTAAAATACAACATCAAAGGGAAATTAAATGTTTTCGAAGCTTTTCTAATAAGTACATATCCCAGTCGAAATGTTTTGGCCTTAATAGTAGTGATAAGTAAATTGATTTATTATAAATTTCAATTTATTTTACAATAATTACTATTAATGTTCTCTCATTGATTAACTTTTCAATATTAATAGATAAATATTCAAAGACAAATCAAAGATAAAGGAAAATATTGATAATGTTAGTGATAATAAGTGAAAGAAAAATAATGAAAGCAAAAGAAAATTAAACAAAAATAATCATTACTCACGAATTACATTCTATTCGATCTGACGAATACTATATATAAGATATTTAGCACGTATCAAAATTTATCAAAATTTTTCAAACGAAATATATATATATATATGTATGTAATTACGTATGGATGTCGTTGCTGTTGTCACTGTCGTTGGACAAAAAAAAAAAAAAAAAAAAAAAAAACAGAAATAAAAAAGAAAAAATCTGGGTTATTCGAAGTGTAACATGTATAGTTCGCGTTTATAGCAAATGGACGTTCCCCAGTATCATGGGATGATACAGAGTCGAGAAAATTGAA